ATATGTGTATATATATGTATATATATTTATATATAAATTGACAAACAGATGATGTGCTTTTTATGGAGTAAATCTCTTTTAACACAGAGACATAACCTTTTAATATAATTACAAATTAAAAAATATTGACGCACGGTATATGTAATGTATATATTCTTCGCCTATGATCTTCAAATCTCATTGCTCAGAAGAAGAACTTAAATGAACTTATTACAATTTACTAAGATTTAATTATCTTAGATATTAAACGAAAATTACAAGCTGTTGCAATATATATATATAGCTTCATGACCGATCACTCGAATACGTTTTCAGGCGAAAGTATTCAAAAAATGCTAGCCAATCTGCCAGCTAAAAGAGCCACAAGGAAGGTTCTGCAGGACAGCATGATGCGATCGCAGGGTCGACTTCGTAACGTAAGTAATTTAATAGTGCAGAACAATGTCTATCTTCACCTCAATAATATATTCAATCAAAATTGGATTGATATTGAATCATAAAGGCGATAGAATCATAATAGCCGACTAATTTAAGGATGTTGACAGCGTAATATCTAATGGGCTCTTCTATGTAAAGATTTTATAATAATACAATTAGATATTCTTCCGATGAAATTATTTCGATAAAAATCACGTCAGAATATGAAAGTCATATTATGTCATATTACATAATATCAAAATGAAAATTGTTCAATGAAAAGCTACTTGAAATATCTTTCTTGATCTATTGTTAATAATTAGTTTCAATTACATTTCAATTTGTATTATTCGAGAAAATCATACAATTTCCTACTGGCAAAAAATTAATATAAACGGGGCATAATAAATGAGATTGATTGAAATCGTAAATATAGTTTGACGTAATTTTGTGTGTTATGAAGACAAATTACATAAGTAATGAAACATTGTACCGCCGGACAATCTGAGTAACGCAAATATGCTAAATAATTATGAAAAATTCGAGATTCGTCGAAATAAAACGTTATTGCCTTGCGTGATTCGTCGCACTCGAGCGAAGGCATCGATTAGTTGACATACGTGCTTGTTGAAGTACACAATTCTATGATCGTGCACACAGTCGTGCAGGCAAAGCGATTTTTATATTATAACGTTGTATCATTTTATTTTTCTTTCATTAAAAATGCTGCTTTTCTTGCTTTAATACTTTTTGTACTTCTATCTTTATACAAAGATAAATTGTAAATAAAAATATAAGATGAAAATGTTATTAAGTTTCTAAAGATAAAAGCTTTAAATTTTATCTCGATAATAATGAAACTGAATTTATCAACACAAAAGCTGTAGTGGCATCTTTGGACTTTGTTGAAATAGGTGCAAACCAAAACAAGGCCTTGTATAATCGGTGACCCGAACTCGTCCCGAATCTCACGCAACAAAGCCGCTCTGCGGAATAAACTGCTGAAGAATGCCAAATCAATTCAGCGGAATCGCTGTCGAAGTGACAACATCGCCGCGGTAATCGAGAGCGTCGTGAGGAAGTGTCACGAAACTGAAAAGAAATCGGATAGTGATGTCGACAAAACCGCCGAAATTGAGAACGAGGATAAGAAAAATGCCAAAGAGATGAACGAAGGTTCATCGAAGGCAACCAGCAAAGCTTTGGATCAGAATGATAGAATTATTCGACCGAAAGTTGGACGACCTAAGATTCTCGGCAAGAAGAGGAATGTGAAAAATCCACAACTTCAAAGCAAAAGCAACAAGCTAGTAAAAGCGATGGGCAAGTTTGCGAAATTTAAGAATGATACTACATCCGAGACGAAGGGCGAAGGCGAGGAGACATCCTCCCCAAAGAGTATACCAAAGAACGCAAAGACGACACTAAAAACAATTGACAAAGATGACGTCAATGCCGATAATAAAAAGATATCGACAATTTCTGGAATAAAAAATAAAAACAAATTGACGCACAACATATCGAAGAGAAAACGTCCTGTGGATCCGGTGGCATCCTTGAATGCTTCTATCAAGGCAAAATCACAGTTACGAACGCAGGATGGTAAGTTCGCTCGCAATCCAAACAAGAATTTGCAGGCGAAATCGTCCGAAGAGAAAACAGACAACGGAAAATACAAGACTACCGACTGGATCGAAATTAAACCCAAGCTGAAAGCAGCGCAGAAGTTGAAAAAAATTGGGATCCAGCTGCCACGAAGAGTCACTCGGTTATCATCGGATAGCGACAAGATGCCGACTTTGGAACCAGTCGTACAGATCGTTTCCTCCAATGAGGAATATGCCGATAAATCGGTGAACGATTTACCTATCTTGTCGCCAGTAACATCATCGGGTTCTCTTCAGGATCAAAAGGCATCTCGAATTTCCACAAAGTGCATTTTAAAGGAAAAAGAGGAGAATATTGAGGCTAATGCCGATCTCGAAGTTGTTCTTGAAAAAAGAAAAAGGAGGCAGAAATCAATGAGAGGAAGAAAACCGAAGGAGGAAACGAAAGACATAGTGAAGCGGAAGAAGACTAGTATAATTGAAGAAAACAAAATTTCCAAAAATAACGCAGTAATATTAAAAAATGATAAAACGAAAGGCAGAAAGAGTTTACCGGTCTTAAATGCTAATAGTAGTGAAAATAACAAAGAAGAAATATCGAAGAAAGAGGTAATTGCCAAAAAAGATTCTAAGCCTAAAAAAGAAGAAGCGACGAAGGAAACTCGAAGCAACTCGAAAACCAGAGTAAACAAGGATTTCGTGAAACTGTCGGACATTCCATTCGAGGTGAAGAAACTACTGTATTCGGCTCAATGTATTCTCGATAAGGACGATCTCTTGAGCACACTAGAACTCGCATCTAACGATTCAAAACGCAATCTAAGGCAATTGGCACCAAGATCGAAAGTGCTTCAAGTGAATAACAAGAAACCGCGAGAACTAGATGACGAATCAGATGGCTTGAAAGATAAGAAGGAGAAGATTGAAGCAATTAAAAAATCATCCAGAAAAAACGCTGAGAAGAAGGATGACGATAAGCTAACGAAAATGAGCCTAGAGAAGGATTCAATTAGCAACGCGATTGCCAATGTAGCGCAAAACGAAAGAAATCAACAAGGTAAAAGAGACAGAGCAGTGAAAACGAAGGAAATTACGATTGATAATTCCGATATGAAAAGTAAAATCGATGGCAGACAAACGAGAGGATCAGTGAGCGATGTCAAGAACGAGCCTTCCTTAGAAATTATAAACGATAGTCTTCGAAAAGGCAGATCTTTGCTGGGAAAACGTCGCAGTCGTAACAAATCGCTCGACAAAGATGAAGAAAACTTGCATGTATCCAAAGCACAGAGTAGCGAAAATGCCTCGTCGAGCGGAAAGGAAAAGCTCGGGGAAGTTGTCGATAAAATTTCTAAGAAGGAAATTGAAGGTGAGAGTGATAAAAATTCTGATGATCACTTAGATTCGACAGTAGTGAATATCAATTTAAGTCACTTGCAATCGGAGACGAGTAACCTGTCCATTGACAGTGGTAAGGAAAACTCTTTGGAAACATCCGTGAACGTTCACAGTAAACTGAAAGTAGGAAGACCCAAGAAGTCATGGGGCGCACGTCGCGAGAAATCATTGAGGAAGAGGTCCTTAAACAATGTCATCGGTATTCTGACGGAGGGCATGAATATCCCTGCGGAGGCGCAGCAGAACGTGCAAGTGCTCACGGTTCAGACTAGTTTGGACAATCCGGATAGGTTGGCGCGGAACGGAAGCGCTCAACAACCAAACAGTGGTGAGGGCGACGTGATCATGGTAGACGCAGCATTCAGTGAGCTGTCGGCCCTCCCCAAAAGCGAAGAGAAATCCATAAAGAACGAAACTATTACGGCAACGAGCACAACTGATAGCTCTCATGCAGACAATGAGAAGAATGCTTGTCCTGATGAAGCACAACTTGAAACCGTCGTCACCGATGGAAAAGTCGATGTATCGTTGAGAGTTACAACTACTAAGGCGTGTTCGCCAACCAATGACATTATCCTCGATTTGTCTAGAAGGAAACCCAAGGGTAAAGGCTCTTTCTTAGAGAAAATTGTGTCGAAGATAGCCAAGCAGAAAGATGCTTTGCTAGAAGGTGAGGTAGGTTCTTTGCTTGATACTGCAGCCGATGAGTTGACTAGCATTCTCGATGAGGTCGGACCCACCTTGACTGATAATGCGGAGGGTACAAATTCCGACGAAGCAAATCATGCCTCAGAGAACAATAAAAGTGTAACAGTTACATCCGCTGACAAAGAATTGCCGATGATTGTAGAACCTGAAATTCAAGCATTGGAAAACGAGAAAACCAATGTTGAGAGCGCGGTTTCCAAATGTTCAATGGATTCTTTGGAGATATCAGACAATCTTGAAAAAAATTTGGTAACAAAGGCTGAAATTCAAAGTGAGAATCAATTTAAAGCAGATAATGCTTCAAACGAGATAAAGAATAACGATGACTTGCACAGAAAAGTGAGTTCTATTGAAAAAAATGTTGAAAATAAATCAATGATAAATAAAGAACCAGTTATTCCAATAACAATTTCAAATGAGAATCTTGCATCATTAACCGATATTTCAATTTCTTGTTCGTTAATTACACAAAAAGAAAATTTAGAAAAACCTGAAAGAAAGAAAGGCGTTACAAAATCCAGAAGAAAATCCAACAAAAGATCACTGGACGCAAGATCTAAAAATAAGAAAAAATCATTAGAAATCATCGAAGATCGCACAGAAGAAAATGCGCAGAAAAAACTTGGATTGAATGACACATTTAAGTCCGATGTTGGAAATGAATTTTCAAAGAAAGACGATAATGTAGAGACTTCAAACACAGATATCGAAAAGTCGAAGCTGCTTCAATATAGTAAAAGCGAAATTCTCAAGGACAACTTAAAGTCAACAAATTTAGAAAAGAATCTCACGAAAGCTAATAATGAATCAAATTTAGAAAAATTCACCGATTTTTCAGAAATCATTTGTGAAAATACAAAATTAATGGCGAGCCTTGAAAAATCCCTTGACAAAATAACTTCTGATGAAAATACTGTTACCAATGATCAGTCGACAGAATCAATCGAGAAAAATACTGATTTTTCGATATTATCTTCAGAAAAAAGTGTTGAGTGTAAAAAATCTGTAAATAGAAATAAAAAAAAGAATCGAGTTAATTCGAACGGATCTAGGCGTAAATCGAAAAGAAAATTGAAATCTGTCTTATCAATAACTCCTTCGAATGATGCTACTATAAACATCCTCCAAACTTCTGTAGAACTTATAGATGAAACAGAAGAGATACCATCTTCGTCGACCATTGCGAGAGAATCTTTAGAATCAACTGATATACAATCGATAAAAATTGGGACCATTAGCGACTCAGACGTTCCTTTAGGAAATTTCTTGCATTCAGTAGAAATAGTGCCCGAGAAATATAAAGAGACACAAAATACAGACTTAAATTCAAGTCTCGTTAATTCGATACCTTCAAAAACAATGGAGAAACGTGATGCAAAAAAGAAGTTATTGGCTGAGGATCTGGAACTATTGGAAGACAAGTCTGCTAAAGTTGTTTTGAAACTCAATAATGAATCCAGCATCGCTGATACTAATGAGCGATTATCTGTTAGCTTAGAACATTTCAAAATACCGGAAGTGAAGGATCTACCGCAGAGTGCGAAAAAACGAGGCCCGAAAAAGAAGTCGCAATCCGAGGATGATCGCTGGAACAGCGGAAGCGTTTCCGAAAAGTCTCGAACGAATGAGAAACTCATGGAGATTGGCGAGATATCTAATTTGATCGAAGAAAAAGTCGAAGAAGAAATAGAGAAACGTGTTATTGGAGAAGAATCGAGTACGAAGAAGCTTGGAAGATCGAATTCTTCAGGGTCCATCGGTCTCGCTCCCAAGACAAGATCTATGTTTAAGAGAAAAACACAGCTGTCAAACGAAGACCTTGCTGATTCCAACATTCGAAATCAGAATGCCGAAAGCATGGACGATTTGTCCGAAAGCTCGTGCGTTAGCGAGTCCAGCTACTTTAGGAAGAAGCGATTCGCGAAGAAAAAGAGAAAAGAGGAGACAATAGTTGATAGCACTCGAGTCGATGCTTTTCTCATAGATTCGACAGTTCTGAAAAGCAGTAAGCAAAATCCGAAAAGGAAAACCAAATCATTGCTTGATGAGCATCTTAATTTGTCTGACGTGGATGACATTGACATTCCAATGGACATCCAAGCTTCATTAGAAAATATGGAAGCCTTGGAAAAAATTGAACGAGAGTTTGAACTCACTGAAAAATCTTTGGATCCACAAAACGAAGGCACAGACAAATCAACGGATGATACAGAGAATAAAGATTCGCATGCCTCTTTAGAAAGACCAGCATCTAATAATCATTCTTTAGATAATCCGGTTACCCCGAAGAAACGCGCGGGAGGCAATTTTGTGGTGGTGCACACAAAAACCGGTGAGATTTTGATTGTGGAGAAGAAAAAGAAGCTAACGAAGGAAGCGGCGAAGTTTTTCTGCGACGTATGCGCTACAAGCTTCACTCGTAAGAGCTCTCTAAAGAAACATACGTTGTCACAGTCGCATTTATCACAGTTGACAAAATCCACCAAAGACAAAGACGAGTCTGTTAACAGCAATACGTTCGAGAATACTGAAGAGGATGACAACGAATGGAATAATCCAGAGAATGATCAACAGACGAAGAACATTCTAGAAGACGTTCGATCTCATGAAACCGATCAGAAGTCTTTGGAGTTAGACGAGAGCTTTGTTCCTTACACAAATAGTACAGAATTAACGAAATCTCTTGTGGATCTCGGAACGAGGCAGATGTTGGAAGATAAACTGCTGGACGAAGAGATTTGCAAGATTACTGAAAACATGAGCCATGATGAATACGTTTTAACTGATCAAGTGACACCGGAAGATCCAATGTTGTCATCAACGCCGATCAAAGCTCACCATAAAAATCAGGAGGATTCAGGACGAGGCAAAAACAGTGACAAGAAGCAGAATAAGTCGAAGAAAAGAAATCTGGCAGAAGAACATTTGCTCTTGGATTCTCCTAAATTAGAAAATTCTAAAATTGACTCGGACGAGCTTCCGAAACCAACCAATGATGTCATGCGAATTTCCTCGCCATCTTGTGATCATTCTTCGACAAAGGAAATAATGGAAACGGAAAAAATCGAAGATATTTCTAAAGAATGTGTAGATAACGTTAAGACGAAAAATCAATCAGAATTAATTGTTACATCTTTAAATGAAGAAACAATTTTGAAATCAGTATGTGATATTGATGGGAAAATTGACCAGCAAACAGAATCCACGAAGACTACGAAGAAAACACTAAAAAAAATCTCTAAAGTTTATAACGAGGAAAAAGAAGAGATCTCAACTTTAACTGAGAATCGTTTCAGTCTAAGACCTAGAAGAAGTAAAAATATTCAGCATTATGAGGAGTCTGATATTGAAGTTGATATATATTTTATGGATACTTCCATGGAGATTAACAGTGATGAGATAGAAAATAGCCGTGATGCGCAAAAGAAACAGAACGAAGTAGAAGAAGAAACTAATAGAAATATACTACAGGATAGCTACACTGACGATAAAAGTTCTCAGGATGTAGAAGTCGCAAAGTCGAAGATAGACTCAACGAACGGTACTAAAAAAAAGAAACGTGGAAGACCGAGGCTTAAAAATCGAATTATTTCGAATTCTAGTTCAGCTCTCGCGAATCTCGAAGTTAACGGAAACGATTCTGTCGCTACGACTAATCTTGATGAATCAAAAATTGAGGATCAAAAATTAAATTTGGATACCAAAGAGCGTTTAGATAAAATCAGCAAGCCATCACATATTGATGCAAATGCCCAACCTAAACGAAGTCGGGGCAGACCTAGAAAAAATCCTATATCCATTACAAATAATTCTTCAATACAAGCAGATAATTCGAGTGCTTCCGAATTGACGAAATCAAATTATGATGAAATGAAAGAAAAGGCAGACGTAATTGAATCATGTTCCAAAATGATTATCGAAGAAATCACATCGATCAGTTCTTTGATACCGAATGCAGAATCTTCATCTGCCGTTCAAGATCATACTACAGAATCAAATTTATCGGAAACGAAAAAAGATTTATTAAATACTGAAGATATTCAAAGCCTCGAGCTAAACATTTCCAAAAATCAATTGGCGCAGAGAATAGAACCTACGAATATTGCGATAGATGACACCGTACTCGCATGGAATTGCGAGAATGTGCTTACCTCTAACATTCCATCAGAAAAAGTCGAAATATTGCCATCAGAAACAAATACATATGTTAACGATGCAAAATGTGTGCTAGAAGAACAACAAAATGATACGAATGTGAATATTTTAACACTAACGACCAAATTATCAACCGAGTTTCCATCACAAATTACCGAACAGATATCGATTGATGATTTGAAATCGGCTGAATCAAAACCAATCGAATTCGACAACAATGAAAGCTTCGAAATTCCAAAATCAACAGACATTTTAAAAGAGAAACAAATAAAGTCAAGAGAGGAACTTCCCGAAGAAGAAGTTCCCAAAGCAAAATTGTTGTCATCAGAAGATGAGGATAAAGCGTTAGCCGAAGACAATAAATCTCTTCTCGCAAATTTCCACAAATCTCAGAAGGTAATAAATGATTCTGGGAATGATAGCACTTGCGATGAAAGGACAATTCGATTGGAATTTACCAAGAAATTATCCAGAAAGTCAACGAGTAAAGAACGAGAAATTGATCGTAAAAGATTGAAAACATCTAAGGATAAAAAGAAAAAAATCAAAGTCGCTGAACTGTCGAGTGACAGCGAGAACGAGGATGACAGACTCGAATCTGCTGCTTCGAGTAAGAATAAAATTGTGAAGAGTGTGTTTGGCCGAGTATTTGGTGGCGAGAAAGCGGACAAGGTGAAAGAAGTACTGAACGATTGGGTATCGCGATCAGAAGACGACTCGGATATATCTAGAAGTGCTTTGGATGCGAAATCCTATTTACGTGGACTGACAAAGTTCTCTGAGAATGGACACAAGAAAGAAAAGAAATGCCACTTTGGCTGTGAAACAAAGAAAGATACTGAGCGATTATCCAAAAAGAAAGGAAACGAGAAGTGCGACAGTGAAGTTCACGGAAAAGCGAAGAATCGAAAGAAGCGAGAGAAGGATATCGAATCGATATCTGAGGATCGTATCGGCTCATCTATCAATCCGGCCAAACGAAGATATAGAGAGAGCAAGATCAGAGCGGACGAGAAGATTCTAAGAGCTTTCAATGATGAGTTATTGACGATTTCGGATGAAGATAACAAGATTAAAGAAATGCACAATCAGATTAATAATGAATTGAACGATAAGGAAACAAGGAAACACCATGAAAAAGACTTAAATAAGGAGCGAACGAAGAATAAGAATTTGATCTCTGAAAATTGGGAAAGTTTTCGAGTCGAACACAACGTTCATGGAAAATTGAAAAATAGTTCCAGTCATCGTAAGAAACAAGATGCTAAGGAGCATTCTTTGTCACCATCGCAATTCGAATCCAAATACAGGTGGAGAGAGAGCAAGACCAAAGCCGGCGAGAGGATCTGGAGAGCCTTTGACAATGAGATTTCATCGTGCCTTTCCAACGATCAAAATCTTAACGAATTTCACGAAATTTCTAAGGAGCAACAGATCGAGTTCTACGAATCTGAAGACCCGAATTGCTCGGATAATTCGAAGAGTGTCAAACAAAAAGATGACGAAGCTTGGAAAAACGTCAGTTCAATAAATCACGAACAGAGTGTAGTGCACAGTGGACGCGGGAGATCCAGAAAAAATTCGAACAGTCGCAAGAAACAAGATTTCAGTCTGATTAAAATAAGTAAGACAAAAACCAACAAAAGGATTTTGAAGGATTACGAGTTATCGATCCCTTCGAGAGATCGAGAAACGAAAAACGAAATGCAAAACGATCAAACTATGTTATTGACAAGTGAATCGAGGAATCGATCGAAAACTTTGATCAAAGATAGCTCTTACGAGTTCTTCTACAGCGATTCAGTTGTTTCGAAGCATGTGAAAGACCAAGATAATTTGTTGACACATTTGGATCGGTCAACAAGTTCTAGGAAAAACAAAAAAAGGATTATCAATGAAGATTGGAAATATTCAGTGAGGAATCTAAAATTTGATCTGGATGATGATCAGCCAACCGAGAAGGAAATTGGACACAAGGAAGAGGATACAATATCATCGCGTAGTTGCAGCAGTTTAGCAGTCGAAGAACTAAGAAGGAAGAATCAATTAGTCGATCTTGATGATTCTCAGATGAATCGAAAGTCTAATAACAATGATAACGACAATGAGGAGGATGATGACAACGAGGAAGATGACAGTGATCTCGAGCAACGAAGAATGTCACCATTCTACGCTCGCGAGACTCCCGATAACTCCATAGAAAGCAGCTCCGAGGAAGAGGAGGAGGAAGAGGATGGCGAGGAAGAAGAGGAGGAACGCGTAATGTACGAGGATAATTCCAGAAAGACAAATCCTAGCGAATTCTCTGGGGAGAAGATTATAATCAGATCGCCATCTTCGGGTCATAGATCGGATGTGGTAACGATTGCACCCACAGACGCGATGGAGGACAATGCTTTAGACGTACCAAGAGAGATCGAGTCAACGACGGAACTGCGGCAAGGCAAAATCCTTAATTTCGACGAGGAGCTCTTCGTGGAATGTTGCTCGAGATTGAAAGCTACGAGCGAGAACGAGTTGAGAGGTGCAAAGAAGATTAAGCTCGATCATACAGAATCATATCACAGGCGAGATGATCAATCGCAAGGATTCAGAGTCAATAGAGATCGATGGAGAGACGTGGAGAGTCAAAATAGTCTTGGTAGTCTTTTGGAGTCAGTGAATCAAGTGAGTATTACATTAGACATTTTTCTACTTGGATAGCTTATTAATATATAATTAATAAATCGTTAATAAATTAGTTATTCTGTACACAAGATAAATGTAATATTGTTTATCTAATTCGTTTAGTGTATGAAGTAAATAAATATAAATCTTTTAATGATAAATCGATCAACGATAAATTATGAAATTATTTAAAATTATGATTATATATTTATTTAATTACTTATTAAATTAAGTGAAATCTTTTGCTATTAAATTGACTTGATTAATTGGAGAAATCATTAACTTTCAGTTCTGAGTAAATAGAGTTATAAATTTTAAATATGGTTTGTATACAATTTACAACTAAAAATAATTATTATAATTGTATTCTATTATATATAAGTATTTAATAAAACTAAAACTTTTATACTAATCTTTTAAGAATTAAAAACACGATTACAAAGAAAAATAAATACAATGTAAAATATGTTATTTTGGAAATTCTAGTTGCTCGGTGAGGAGATGTACAACAGCCATGACAAAAGTTATCGAACACGTGGTAGCGAACGATCGAGCAGATCGGCCAGTCCAGATACGTCGCGAATCGACAATCTTGGCTACGAGGACAGTTTGGACGTAGCTTTTGAGCACAATAACAAACTACGAGATAAGATCCAACAACGCATGAGAGAGAGCGAGAATCTGATAGCCAATACGTTCGGCCAGAAGATCAACGACAATAATCATCCTGACGATGACAAGCGAGATAGTGTTGGGAATTCTTATTCCTCGAGTATTCACGAACATGAACAGCTGCCTACATCGGTCGCGTCGAATAGAGAGCTGGAGTCCTCACCGAGCCATAAAAACAAGATGAATTCGACTCTAGGTGGTTTACACAAGGCACTATCCAACTTGTTGCATAGCAACGGCAAACATGATCATAAGTGAGTATCTCAATACTCAAATCTATGCGTAATATTTATATTGTAAATATTTTTATTGTATATGGTCGTATAGTGAATAATTTTGAGAAAACAAATTAATATTCTATCAACATAATAGAAGTGTATTATAATAATGAACTTTTCAGTTGGATATGAATAAGTTTGATAAGTTTAATGAGGTTTCGAACTCAAGAAAGACAAAGGTTCTCCAAATTCATAAGTACTTCATGAAAATAAATTGTAGCTGTCGTTTATAAACTTAGTCATATCGAATTTTTATTCTTTTGCTAGTATAATCTTGATTTGTTTTCTTAACATATTTCACAAAAGACTTAGTGCATTATTCTATTTTATGATGCTATATATAGATGTTAATATTTTAATACGTTCTTCTAAAATTCTGTCTTGATATAAAAGCATAAAAAGATATTCGAGAGTAATAGAATGCATATGACGAGACTTCAATGATTAAAAATATTTTGTAGGATGGCTCACGTATCAAAGCATATTTTTCAGTTTCGCCTCGGTTCGACACCTGTTGATTGTTCGTTTATCTGCTGTTTATCTGCTTGCGTGGCCTATACGTTTTGTTTTCCGATTCTTCGATTACGCTAAACTAGATGAAGCGTATGATTGGCGCATATTGGCTAGTCATTTTTTTTCTCTGAAAAAATAATATTTGTGATTAATCTTTTCAGAGACAAAAATCAAGCTTTATTGTACAACGTTTTAAACTATATAAGTACTGCACACAATCCACATCTGGCAAATGTTATCCTCTGTCTTCTTCACTTGGGCTGAAATTATTCGAGCTTGATGCTCGATTTTCACTAAAGATGATTGAGAGACTATCGTCGAACGATGCTCATTTATTCGTGTTGCGTATTGATCCGTTTTCGTCACTCCACTCTGTACGCGATGAACGATCTTTCCCTTAACAGCATCAACATGTAGCGCTTTGCGATACATTGAATTTAGTATATAACACGTAAAATACAGCGAACACATATGTATTCCATGTTTATTATCCTCCTAATTTATTTACTATTAAATATATTTTCCCGAAAATTTCCTTTGTTTAAAGAAAGGAAAATATACTTGTAATTACACTTTTCCTATAATTTCCAAAAATGGAATGAAGAGATATTTCCACAATAATCAATATATATATATATATTAATTTAGATTCCATATTGACTCCAAAAGAAGCAATTTATTAGAATTAAAAGATCAAGAAATGATACTCATTATGTATGTCATACATAAAATTTATTACAGTAACATGTTTACTTTAGCTGTGAGCTATGTGTGAATTTTAAAAACAATTTTATTGTATAATTTATTACCGTTAGTGATAAAATTTTCTCTGTTTGCTATATTCGTTTTTATTCTCTGCGGTAATTACCCGAATAACAATGAATTTCCATTAATTATTAATGAATCCATTATTAAATCTACAATTACTCTATAAAACTGTTTACAAAATATTTTTCAATTATATGTTTTGTTAATCGATATACTGTTGAAAAATATTGTTATAAAATAATTCCTCGCTTGTTTTCTTCATTAAAACTTGTATAATAAGTTATCAAGAATGCAGGATCTTTTAATAGATGTAATTACAGTCATCTATTTTCATATTTTCTATACAATTAACCACACGATCATACATTTAATAACGAATCTCGCTATCGATGTCTGAACAATCATTTATTGCTTAATAAAGTTATAAAAAGTTGTTATAAAATAAACCTATTTTATTTTGCAGCGGTTCCGCTCCGATGAAGCTGTTGGCGGAATTGGCTTGCGCTCGAGCTCCGACCTCCACGTTGCCGGAGGATACCACGAACAGTAATAAGAATTATCAATCGGTGAAAATGGTCGCGGCAGCAGTCGCTGCAGCAGCTGCAGCGGCGGCTGCGATAGCGGACAAGGACACCTCGACTACCTCTAAGAAGCCAACGAAGGATTCAACGATAACGTTGAAGAATTCGCCAACAAAGAAGACGAGGAACCCTATTAAAGAACTGTTCGAGCGCAAGAAGGAAATAAACGATAGAAAGCAACATGAACGCTCGAAGACTTTCATTGAATTAAACATGCAGAAGCAACGCAAGTCGAAGAAGAGCAAAAAGCAGCAGCAGCGGGAGTTCCCATTGATCCGTAGAAGTGAACATTATGGCCTAGTGGAGAAGAAGAAACGTCGCGATTCTCTCGATCGGAAAGGAGAAACAGAGAGAATAAAGGATGTGTACGAATTTGATGAGGAGGAGAGCCAAATGGCGCCCACTCTAGGTAGCGTGATGTCTTATAGGAGCCAAATCGACAAAAGTTACGACACCAATTGGTCAAGGATAAAGAATACCGATGGGAACTTAGATACTGTCTTGCAGAACGGCAAGACGAATTATGTCGCGAACACTAAATTGGACGCTATAATCCACCGTAAATTCCAAGAGTTGGAGAAGTTTGCGCCAAAGACAAAAGGCGCCCTGAAGTCGTTCCAGAGCGAGGAGCAGCAACAGCAACAGCAACAAATTATCGAAACAGTTACCGGACCAATGGACGAATTTGTGGAAAGGAAGCAACGCATGAAACGGTCTATAGAGCAAGGCATCAAGCAATCTGGCAAGATCAAGAAACGAGGTAAAAGTTCGAAGAAGCGAGTAAGAAACGCATGGTATGAGAACGATAGTTCGGACGAGTTCAGAACGGCTGCGAAAACGGAAGATATTGGCGTTGGTATTTCAAAAAGTCAACGCTCGTGCTCGAAAGGCAAACAGAATCTCTTTGCGGAGTTATCGACATCATCCGAGAGCGAATACGAACGTGACAACGTTGATTATATGTTCGCGAACGAGCAACGTTCATTGAAATTGAAGAAGAGTTTGAAAAAATCGCTCGATGTTGACATCGACATCGATGAGACGGATGATCAATGCATAGTCAATGAACCTGAATTCGACAATGAAGCTCAAGTAGCAAATGATTGGAATCAAGCAGTGGAGGAAGTACAGGAAGATGCTATGAAGAACAATCACGACGTCGCGAAATCAGAATCAGAAATGTCAGATCATTCTTTGGTGATAGATGAAAGAAAGATGATCGACGAGGCGAGGAACAGCGATGACGATGCGGATAATCAGTACGAAAGAACGTTTGAGCTGGATGATTTGTATAGAGAAGACAGCTCGGATGAAGAGACAGAAGTTGAGGAGAACGAAGAGCCGATGACCAAAGAAGTGAAGGACAACAGACCTGAAAAGCAAACATTAGATGAAAATGCAACTTTGCAGACGAAACTTACTTCTACGATCATGAAAGACGATTGTGCGTCAGAAATGATTTCTTTGGAAGAAGCCTTGGATTTTCTAGATCGGCATGAGAATCTCGAGCCCAAAGCTGAGAATGCACGTGCAAAGAACATCGTCAACGGCATTATGGATGAAACTTCTAACGACAGAATTGTTAATGAGGAAATGGAGAATAAATGTCCAAGCCCAGAAATGCGAGATGAGAAAGAGGAACCGGATGACGATGTTCCAGCTTTGCCCGAGAAACTATCGAGTAATGAGAAACCACAGAAAGAATCCGATCACAATCTCCCTCTTCATGTATTTCTCAGCAGAAAGGTACAAGAATCAAAGAAGAGAAAGCAACAGCAGTTAGATAAATTACGAGAGGAGCAAGAAAGGATACTTATGGATTTTCAGCCAACCAGAAGACAAAGAAAGTGTGCGATAGGTAAACAAGGTCTGCTAGCGGAAATAAGTAGCTCGGACGAGGAATCGTATGTGAGAGATAACAGCAGGAAAGGTAGTGATCATGACAAGTCGCGGAAGAAAAGGGAATTGAAGGAAAAAAGAAAAGAAAGGTACCTCGAGAAAAAGCATGAGCAGATGATTGCTAAAGAGCAAAAAGCAATCGAGGAAGAAATTCTGCGAGAGGTTGGCAAGAGAAAAGAGAACCTCGCACAAAACGATAATATTGCATTGAATACTGATGTCGTGGAAACAGTCGTCTCCGAACAAATTCAGAGGAAAAAACATCAGACAAAGGAGAAATATAAGAAAAGTGGCGACGAGAGTATTGAGGAAAATGCAATGTATATTGATCAGTCTTTCCTTGATAGCTCAGAAGACAATCATAACAAACCAGATCGTGCTTTCTCCACTGCGGAAAGTAATACAGAGAATGACCACTCATCAACTTCATCAAAACGAAAGAAACTCGCGAAATCGCCAACGAAGTCGAAGAAAATTTCCAAACCCGAGAACGGAAAGATCTCAACGAGTAAGAGAAGTAAAGAGTCAACCGCAGAGAAAATCAAGAAGTCCACAAGCAACAAGGATTCTAAAGAGCGCAGATCGTCCAGTGGAAAACGTGATTCTGACGACGAGGAGCTAAAGACCACTAAATCATGGAACAAAGTCGAGGAAGGTGTCGGGGTTGCAATTGGTCGACATAAACGCACTGCTGCTCTTCAATTATACTATTGGTCCAGTTCAAGCGATGAGGAGGAGGCGCCAGAACCGATTCCGGTGCCCGAAGAGGAGGAGGACGATCGGCAGGAACAGCACGGATGGATAGTAGGCGACTCCCACAAGAAAATGATCACAATGCTGGCGATGGAGAAGCAGCTGAAGGAAAAACGACGTAGGAGCGAGGACGACTTCGAGCCTGGTAAGGCGAAGAGCAAGAAGCATAGGAACAGCACTTCTTGATACGTGTTTCATGATTAAAATTCAATCGAATCTGCGCGACGAATAGACGCAATGAGACTACGATATTCTGACAACATAAACTGAAAGCGAGAAAGTGAAGGCTAGAAGGATTTCCATGTTTGTCTTTATGAGAATTTATTACGTTCTATATCTTCCACGGTAATTACTTGTGGCAGATCTGTTTAGGTAGATAAAAATACAATGGATAAGTGTGATCTACGATCAAAAAAGTATTTGTTGTGTTCGATCTTTTTTCTTCTTTTCTTTATTAGCGAATATTGGACGTGATTCAAGTATAAAGAAGAAAGAAAGAAGATATAAAATGTACATAGTTGCTTGGCGTGTAGAGATTAGAGATTAGACGAGTATCCTCCCTCGTTGCAATCTAAGAATTATACATGTATAAATATAAATCGAGCTCTTATAAATACCGGATATAGACTGAACATGAGAAGTAGCAAAAAGTGAAAAGAGCACTCTTAGACAATACTAGGATGTTTGTAACATTTAGTTGTATGTAGGGAAGTCTCCCACATGTGAAACAGGTGAGATGAAAAAATAGGGGGAATCAGTCACAATCGCTTATTTAGGAAAGGACAACGTAAAACCGGGTCCAATCGAGTTTAGCGCTTGTATCAGCTTCTTTCGTGATTTGTAAAACGTATTTCTTGCATATTCTTACATGTTCGTACATATTCTTACATATCGCAGATGAAGTAAGGAAGAAAAACTTCTCACGGGGATAACGTTCGAAGATGAAAATATCGCGTTCAAGGGAGTTTAAATCTTTCGCTAAAGAAAAGAGAAACCTTTTTTGACCTTTTGCACATTATTTTTACGAACTTTATAGATCTCAAAGCTTATGCATGTGTGGCTGACTACTATGAAGCCACGAATTCGCGGAAAAACAGATGCTTTATTAATGTGTAAAACACGAACATTATTTTTTTCCTTTCGTACTCGCCTCGTGCACATAGAACATAAGTATGTAGATTTTCATATATTACGAAAAAATTATATATATATATATATATGTACATATA